AAAGGTCAGAAATATTTCCTTCATCAAAATGACTTTTCCAATTTGGGTCTAGAGACGTGGAGCAGCTGTCCATCCTGGGCTATCTCCACCCACCATCTGCACTGTGAATTTCACACTTGCAATAACTGCCATGTTTTCCAAGTCTGGTGGCTGAAATTCACACTTATTTTAAAGCTCTTCCCCCAATCTCTCTAACTCTTAGAGCTAAGATTTCCATCTGACATTGATTTCCAGATTTCATTGCTACAAGGAAAAAAACTTATCTCAAAAATTCATACACTGAACACTAGACCATTTTGTAAAAACACTCTGCCTCAAGCATCAAAAACAGTGTCAGGGAACAGCTACTCATACTGAAATGCAGTCTTGTGTGAATTCCAATAACTGTGAGACATTTTCCTACAGACGGCAGAGTATAGGTGCTGAACGCTCTGTCTGCTTCCTTTCTATGCTGTCTTATGGGTAAGGCAATCTGAATATATTAGAAATAAATGGCAATAAAATGTATAGCTCACAGATGCATAGTGAAGGGAATATGCATCTATGGTATGAAAACAATGTGCACTTATTGATTCCTTTGCTTCTTTTTTAACCATTATGGGGCTTTGTGTACCCAATGACAGAAGGCCTGCCAGAAAGAGAAAAAGTTAAACATGATAGCTTAAATTTAAAATCAAACTTCAGAAATGTTTCAAATTTGAACCACTTTCTTAGACACTTGTCTAGAAAAATTGAATGCACCTCTAATCTGGTTATAGGCTATCACTAGCTAGTTCTGTGACCTAGGGCAAGCTACCCCAGCTTTCTCATCTTTAAGTTACATGTCAGATGTATGAATATGTAATCTCTATGGTCCTTGATAAAGAGCCTGTGATTTTTTAAAAACTATCTCAGAGTAGTTAACCTTGCATTTTCTGAAGCCATGTTGGTGTGTCTATATTTCAGCTCCACTAAATTATTATCTGTGTTAATTTGGAAAGTTTATGTAAATGTTGCATGCCTCATTTTCCATTTGTAAAATGGAAAAAAAAATAATAATATGCCTAATGAAGTTGTTGTCAGGATTAAATGAGCTATAATTTAACAATGATAACATATGTGTTGTCTATATTTTATTTTATTTTTAATATATTTTATTGATTTTTGACAGAGAGGAAGAGAGGGTGATAAAGAGTTAGAAACATCAATGATAATCATCGGTCAGCTGCCTCTTGCACACCCCCTACTGGGGATGTGCCCTCAACCAAGGCACATGCCCTTGACCAAAATCGAACCCGGGACCTTTCAGTCCGCAGGCCGATGCTCTATCCATTGAGCCAAAACCAGTTTCGGCTGTGTTGTCTATATTTTAATATATCTTAAAGCAGAGGATACATATAGAATCATTAATAATAACTTATCAGAGCTATATTGATATATTTTTTCCTAGTTGTACATGAAGCATGTTTTCTATAATAAATTGAGTTTATTAAGGTGACATTGGTTAATAAAAGTATATAATTTTCAGGTATGCAATACACCATCTGTATATTGAATGGTGTGTTTACTGCCCTAAGTGAAGTACTCAATAATATCTTAGATTAGATAAAGGTCGATAATGCATATGAAGTGCTTAGAATAATGTCTGGAGCAAAATTTGCCCAATACCTGATGTTAACATTTCTCCATAAGCAATAATTGTTATATCTAAGGTAAGAGTGATATGTTAAGAATAATAAATTAAAAGTGATTAAAACCTTGTTAGTCATATCAATCTTGGTATTATTTTGTATCTAATGTCATAATACAAATTTAATAAATTCATTCATGTTAATCAATGTCAATTGACACAAAATGAGATCTATTCAAACATTGAGTAGAATTAAATTATTGTTATGATAAAAACAATAAAATCCTCCTTTTTTACTTTATTAAGCTGTTTAAGGATAAAAGATTAAATTGTAAGAAAATAAAAAATTAGTAATATACATTCATTAACCAGGCTTAGCACATTATTCAATAAAATAAAAAATAATAAAAGCATACTGCAGGCAGCAATTTATAGATTATAATTACCATTTGTTATTAATTTTAAGAATGATTAATACTATATTAATAACTTTTAAGAAACAGGTTATTAAAACTTTATTACTGCTTTGCAGATATTAAACATTTATATTAAACTCTTTCTCCTATGATACTTTATGTAACTCCAGAACTGGCATCTCTTTTGTCATTAGATTTAATTTTATAACAAACATCAGAGATTATCACTCTGCACTTAAAAAATATATAGTTAAGAAACTAGTCATATCATGGTTAAGAGCAGTTTTAAATAATCAAGGAATAAATGTAAATGATGGCTTAATATGCACATAAAATGTTTGAAATTGCCCAATCCGTGTGGCTCAGTAATTGAGAGTCAACTAATGAACCAGGAGGTCAATGTTCAATTCCCAGTCTAGGCACATGCCTGGATTACAGACTCAATCCACAATTTGGGCTGGGAATAAGGCAACCAATCAATGATTTTCTCTCATCATTGGTGTTTCAATTTCTCTCCCTCTCCCTTCTAAGAAATCAGTAAAAAAAAAAAAAAAAAAAAAAAATTAGATGTTTGAAATGCACCAAAAGTATTAGTTGTTGTCAACATCTTGATTGAGTACACTAAAGAGAGAGGACTTTATAGATGACCTAGTCTAAAATCATTCAGACTAGAATGGTCTGAGATATGATTAAATGATAATTTGTGAGATAAGAGACTCCTAAAATAATTTTGTGTACTTTATTTAGAAATATATCTCTGTAGGTTTAATTGTTTTGTTCTTAGGTCATTTGAATGGTAATATACTAGTAAATTAATATCATAGCTCTGAGCATCATTTTTTTTTCTTGTCAACATTGCCTAGAACTTAAATTAAATAAACCTTGTACAAACTCTGTTGTGTGCTTTTGGATTTATATAATACCTAGGGATAAAAACACATGGCTATTAGAAAACTTTTCATTATCAATCTTTCAAATTCTCTACAAAAAATAAGGTAATCTTCAGTAAACAGTTTTCCCAAAGCATCTTGAGCAATCGGATGTCTGGGTAATAGAGCTTCTTTACTCAAAAAACACAGGCAAGAATATGTTATAAAAATATAATTCTTAGAAATTGCGGAAACTGGTTTGGCTCACTGGTAGAGCATCGGTTTGCAGACTGAAAGGTCCCAGGTTCGATTCTGGACAAGGGCATGTATAATACCTGGGTTGCGGGCACATCCCCAGTAGGGGGTGTGCAAGAGGCAGCTGGTTAATGTTTCTCTCTCATTGACATTTCTAGCTCTCTATCTCTCTCCCTTCCTCTCTGTGAAAAATCAAGAAAATATATTTTTTAAAAAATGTATATATATATATATATATATATATATATATATATATATATATATCTCTTAGAAATTGAAAACTACTTGGATTTCAATGGCTTTCAGAACATTTATGGTAGACTTTGTAAAGATTTATGTGACTTTATTTATGGATAAAACTTATTTATTATTGCACCGAGTAAGGGTTATTACATTATTATTGGATGAATTAAGGGTAACTAATGGAAGAAACTCCTGTCTTCTAGACACTTAAAATATACATGATGATGCTGAAAAATCCTAAAGAGCTAAAAAACTATGCTTCTTCTCTCAACTGTCATGTGAGTAAGACTTTGGATAAAAGAGAGATAAAGACAAAAATAAAACCAAAATAAGAAAATGAATATATGCTGTACCTCAGAAAGATTTTTTTAAATATTTGTATCCATATAAACATAAAGAAAAATATGTGGATGACAAATTAGCAAATAAAACTTACAAATTATCACTTTGCCCTTTTCTACTTCAATTAATGGATTGCACATAAAGAAGTTTCCTATCAATACAATTTGTATTAATCAAAATAGTGTGTCAGACTTATATTACTATCAATGCTTCTGAAAATGATAGATCCCTATACTTGGCAAAAACAAGTACAAAAAAAACCCTTTTCTGCTAATAATAATCAAAATATTTTCTATAACTTTAAGGGAATGGTAAAAAAAAACACCTAGCTTCAATGAAAAACTAGAATATACATTAATACACACACACATATATATATTATCTATCTATCTATCTATCCATCTATCTATCTATCATCTATATGTCTACCTACCTATCTATCCATCTGTCTACATGCTGTTATATTTGTGGAAAATAAGTGAAACAAAAATGTATGCATTAATATTATAGTTAAGTCTTAAAACTTAAAACACATTTCCTACAAATACAGATCTTTTATTGTTCAATAACTTAACCTTCCTAACTTTACACTTAAAAAATGATTACAATGGTAAATGTTATGTGTTTTATAGCACTTTTTTTAAATGAAAGGATACAGATTTTTCCATCAAACCATATTAAAATAACAGGCAGAAAGGAAATAAGTCTACATTTTACAGTGGCTAAAGCAAAGACTCTTTTTTTAAAATCAAAATATAAAGAAATAAAGGTTCAAGCTGAGAAAAAAAGGTAAAGAAAATGCAAATATTAATGAAAATTCCAATTCAGCTTGTTTATTTTAAACATCATTGTCTTGCCCATCTTCTTTGAATGTAGAAGATGAAGTAAATCAATCTTTCAACTAAAGATGTATCTTTTAACTCAAATAATAAAGATGAATTAATTTAAAAATATAACAGGAAAAAAAATGTCTCCCATTACTTTTTCTAAAACAGGTAAAAATCAACACTTTGCATCCAATGACAAGAAAACTATACTATATTTAATAGTTGGGCCATTACTAAAGAATAAAAAGATGATTGTTCGCTTCCCTCCCCCCCAAAAAATTCTTTACTTAAAATTGGTAAAAATGTACTAGTATAAAAGTATAAACATAAAAAGATCAGCAAAGAACATATTTATAATAGTTTACTTATAGTATTTAAAATAACTATGCAAATGCAAGTTCCTCAGTACTAGCATGGTCTCTATGGAGATGTGGCATACCTCATAATGGCTTTCTTCATTCTCCTGCATGTGGAAACCCGCGGAGCTGGGACATTTCTGAGGAGTGACAGGAATATTGTCACTTTTGCTGTGTGAGTTACACTGAAAGAGATTACCAAATAATTGTGACAAACTACTCCACATTTAGAGTGTCTATTGAGAGACATGGTTGTTTGCTAAGAAACTAATTAAGGAATACAATTTGAATTAACACTGGTTGACTCTACAATCATGGATACATGCAATGATATTGAGCCTTTATAAAAAAAAGATAAAAAATAAAACAAGGATGAATAAAAATAAAATAAATTTTATTTTTACTATTTTAATGCAATATTGATTTATTATGCTTATGATTTTAGTTTCTAAAACATATTTAATAGCTAAGGTCATTAATACCTCATCTATTACTATGTGTGAGAGATTTATCCTCTCTCTCTCTCTCTCTCTCTCTCTCTCTCTTTATTATATATATATATAATATATATATATATAATGTTAACATATATATATATATATATTATGTTAACCTATGACATAAATATTATTTCCACTTACAGATGACGAAAATAAAGCATACAAATATTTTAACAAGGTTGGGCTGCTACCCAGCTTTCTGGGACCACATTCCATACCCTACCTACCACATGCATGGCCTTTATAAATGATGCATTTGAAATAGATAAAAATTAAAAACTAAAAAGTTTAAGGTCTAAAAATATTACTTCACTTTTTTCCTGCACCAAATATATATTTAAAAACAGGTTAACTAAAATAATTCATTTGGAAATAAATATGAATTGTAAAACATAAGCTATTAAGTTATGACTTGGCCTTCCTTTGTTAAAATACTAACATGGCTCTTTTCAATATTCCTCATGAGTTTTTATGTAAAAATAAGATATGTACTTTCTATTATCCTACTTTCTACTTCCTTAAATCTCTTGTTGGATTCAAGACAAGGAGTATTTAGAAGCATTGCTGTTTGACTGTTTATTAAACATCACATTGGTATTTCTAAGATTTCTTTAATAAAAGATATTGTAGTGATTCAATATGGATTCATCATTGTTATATATATAACTATTCATCTCCCATAAGACTACAACAAGCACACAGAATTTTATGGCATAAGTAGGAAAAACAATATTTTTTTCAAACTAGTATGTTGTATTTTCTATCCACTAATGAATTTAACTTTCCCCATCCCAAAGAATAATTTGTTATAAAATGGATAATAAAGATGTTTTATAATAAGTTGTAGACTTTAATACATTGAGCTTGGTATACTCTTATTTAGAGACTACCAGTTTTTATATTTAAATACAATTTAAAATGCATTATATTTTTAAGTGTTTCATAATTATTTTGAAATAATTTTAAAGCCATAAAAGGGGCAAAGAAATTAAAAAGATTTCCAAGATATTCTTCATTAGATTTTTAATATATCAATTACCATGTATTTTTGTTTGTTTGTTAAGTGAAATAGCAATATGGAAGATTAGGAAGCCATGACTTTCAAACCCAAAACTATATTAGAAACTTTTGGCATGAAAAACGTTATTTTATGCCTGTCCTCTCCACAAACAATATCCATCAATCCTGTTCAAAACTTACCTCCCTTAGGAACTCCTTACGGGTAACTAAACTAATGGCAATTGTCATTTTAACCTCTGCTTGCAACCTAAGCAACTTTTACATGTAGTTTATAAAATGCTGCTCTGCCAATATTAATTCTTAGAATGACACTAAGCTTGTCTAAACCACTTCACTGTTAATTATGAAGGCCTTTCTGATATTTCTCATCACTGACTTCCTTAGCTTTCAAAAAAAAATGTTTAGATCTTAAAACAGTTATTTTCATCTGTGATGTTCCTAGACATTTTAATCATTCAGTTCCTGTCCTTAGCCTCTCCTCATATCTATTCATGCTGATTAATCTTTTAAAAACATCTCATGTATTATGCAGTTTTTCTCCCTAGAAACATTTTCTCAATTTCTGTGGCCCAGCAGTGGCTTTGCACCCTGGCTATATTAGAATTACCTGGGGAGTTCCAAAAAATGTTCAAGACTAAACCCCAACTCACACTGGAGAAATGTATAGCTAAGGCAAAAATAGTTTTTAAATATCCAGGCAATTCTAATGTGCAGTCAGAGTTGAGATCCCTGGGTCAAGGTTAACATTTTTTCATCTGGCCCTCAAGACATTAATAGTAAATTTTGTCCTCACTTCCTCCTTTAACTTATTTAACCCATTATGGACTAGGTGCTATTTTTTTTCATGGACATATCATAATGCCTCTGAATCTGAACAAAATACAACCCAGTATATTTCAATACTTTATACCTGCAAATACAAGATTTTATATATTATCTACAAGGACCCTCTGCAGAGGTAGAAAGCATGATCCTTCTTTAATAGGTGGGAAAGACAAAGGTTCAGAGGTAGCTAATGCCCTTTGTGCAAAAATGTGCCAGGGAAATGCACCCTAAGTGACAAAACTTAGGCAATTACTATTCTGCCATATCTGCCTTATAGGTCCATTAATTTGCTTGTTTATTTACATATAACACTCTGTTTATCCATTTTTTCTTAGTCATTTGCCGAGTGCTTTCGATGTTTTAAAATTTTATTGGTTCACCCAGATATGGCATTTACTATTTGTAATACCCTCATTCTAACAGTAAAACCATGTATAGAAACAAACAGCACTACAATATGTAAAACTGTGAAATGGTATGCACAGGTAGCTAAGGGGCAGAGAAGAAAGAATGACTGGACTCGTGGGCATGACACATGAGCAAAGTCTTGAAAAATGAGCCTGGAAGGGATTCATACTCAGCATGAATCCATGCCAGAAGGAATAGCATATGCAAAGACTAGTATATGAATTCCCATGATTTGGCCTGTGAGTTTGACAATGCTTTAACTGTAAAGTATGTGATGATAAATTTTAGAATGGGGACAGAAATTATTGATGCATTAAATTAGACAGTAGATGCAATGACAAACAATTACAGAATTAGACCTAATATAAAAAATGACTACCAACTAATGACTACCAAATAAAGGTGCTTTATAAACATCGGAGATACCAAGGATGAGTTGTAATGTCATTCCCTCTCTCCTAACTTACCTAAGGGATTACAATATAAGCAAAATGAGGGCATTTGAAATATTACTGTGGAAATCAGGCAAGTCTCTCTATCTCAACAATATTTCACCAACTAAAAATTGTTTGCCAAATTCGATGTGAATAATTATATAATAAATTATAGTTAAGTTAGATTTACTTAATCAGATTTGATATTGCAGAAAATATATGTAAATCAAACTTGAGAGGTCCAGAACTCAATAACAGCAGCCAGGTTAATGGAAATCACTGTAGCCCTGCCCTGTGTGGCTCAGTTGGTTGGCATGTTGTCCTGTGCACCAAAATTTTGCCGCCTAGTTGATTCCAAATCAGAACACATACCAAAATTGGGGGCTCCTATAGGAGGCTACTGATGGAGGTTTCTCTCAAACATAAAATGTTTTTATCTCTCTCTCCTACCTTCTCTAAACTAATCAATAAAAAAATTCTTGGTGGGGATTTTTTTTTTAAAAAAAGGAAATCACTGTAAATACCTTTGTTCTTTCTTTAAAATCAATTTGAAGTTTTCCATTACCTACAAATGATAGTCATTATTTAAATGCATGGATATGACTTTTCTCCCCAAAAACATCCATTGCAGTTCCTGAGAGATTGTCCTTAACTACCTATAGAAATACCTGCTTAAACCTGCCTCATTACCAGGGATATTAGCTCTTTCATTTTTGACACAGAATTCTAAGAAAGCATTTCACAGCCATGATATCAAGAGAAAAATATCAATAGTAGCAAAAGCAACAAAAGTATTATGAAAATAATCACAAAAATAAATGACACCGCTGTTTTCTTTGCTAAAACAGGATTTGTTCTTTACATTTTCCACCCAAGTCTATAGCAGCAACATGCCCTGTTATTCTACTCCTCCTTCCACCTTCTTACAAATCAATGCTGTTTGCTAAGAATTAATAGCACTGTTATAAATTGTGTGCAATCATTATAGAGGCAGTAGCCTTGCACTTTTTTTGTTCTATATTTTCTAGTAAATAACAATTCTAGTTTTTAACTACTCCATCTGAAAAATTTTTCCTATCCATTTTAAGAAGCCCTTTTATAAAGAGTTGTAAAACTTTTTATACAAATGCCCTGGAGATTGATAAGAAATTCACATTTACAGGAAGAAGCTACTTTAAAGAGCCATCTGTACTTGCTGTCTGTAAGGTCTCTCCATAGATCACTTTGGAGAGCCCACATGTATCAAATTCTCACCACCTCATGCCCCTGATACTGCTCTATCCTGATCACCAATGATGTCCACATTAGCATCTCAAAGGTCAATTCTCAGTCCTCATCTTGCTTTATACCCTGATAACTTCTTCCTTCTGGATCACCTATGTCATTATCTTTCCTAGGCAACATTAACTAATGGTTTTTTTTCTTACCTCTCGTGTTCTCTTTATGGAATAGTTTAACTGTTTGCGTTGTTGTTATTGTTATAACTGCAAAGCCAGAAGAGACACAATTCAGAGATGGAAGATGATGACAATGCCTCAGCATACCAGCAGACAGCAGCTGTGGGTTGCTGAAGGATGCCCAGGACCAAACCAAAGATGGGCAGACCTGCATTACCACCATTTGTCCACCAACCAGATCTGAAATATCATGGCTGACATGTATATATAAGGAACTATCTGGCATTGAAATTGGAACGCAAAAGAACTGTTGGCCCAGAAAGGAACTCACTACAGACTGCATTTGCCTCTCAGCGTAACCATTATGGCTTGTTGCAGTTTAGGTTTTTACAAGGGTATTTCTTCAATCACATGATATCACACATCTAGAGGAAATAATGAACAACATAGACTGATGAACAAAAACAGACTCAGAGAAAGAGAACCAGCGATCAGACTCTCAAACCTCAGAGGGAAAGTAAGGGAAGATGGGGGTAATGAAAAGAGATCAACCAAAGGACTTGTGTGCATACATATGGGCCTAGTCAGTGGCCATAAACAA